GGCGTGGAGGCATCAACCAGTTTGTACCATCATGGGAGGTTGGCTTTATGAGATATTGTTGTATATAAAAATTCAATAAGAGCTATATAAAGCCGCTTAGGTTCTTTGCATTTTTGGATTTGGTGCTTTAGTCTGCTGCACTCAAAGCACATAGCGTGATCCGATTTGCGACGGAAGCGCAAGCAGGGTTTCCATGCTTTAGCCACTTCAAAGAACGTTGATTTGCTTGCTGGCGTTGCTTCCCCTCCAGCTGCGCGCATGTATGCCAGGTACATCAAATACAGGGATGATGTGTTCCCAGGTGGGAGCTCCCGCATTGGTAGGCGCTGTATATCAGTTTCCACTAGAATCTCTTGGGTGGGGCCCAGCAAATGCCGATCCACTAGCTTCCGTAGAAGCTCTTCTCGAAGGTCTTCATCAGACCGGGAACGCATAGCAGTGTCGCACGATTCAAACCTTGTGTCAGAAGAGACCGCAATTGGAACGAGTACCCCGCCCTTTTGGTACCTTCCACTCACCCAAGAAACAAAAAAAGGTTTTCACAAGAGTCAGGCAACCGGTTTGGCATACTCTCAGCTGCTGTCCAATATAAATGCATGAAGAAATTCATTGCAGAGGCTGTTTGTGTCGCTGGATGAGCTGTTGCTCCTGGGTGTGATACAAATGCTGATTCAATTCAATTGGGGATCCCAGAAGAGGTAATGAAGAACAACCAAAAAAGTTACGTTGTTTTACACAAAGCTCCCTGGTTGATGGTCCGCTGGTCAACCCCTCGGAAAGTGCGCTTGCAGCGCTGCATACGTGCCTTGCCGATGCCCAGATAAGTGAGCCATGCTTGTCGACATAGTTGGTGTCCTGAGCACGGTGAAAGGCTTAGTTTACAGTAACTCCTTCCTTGCTCGGCTTGAAGGCAAGCACATCCAAGAACCCCAGCCGAACTTTGAACCACCCTGCCTTCTATAGTGTATGTGCTTTTGCGCCCGCTGCCACATTGAAGTGACCAAAGCACAGCATCTTGAGAATGCTTGGGTAAAGCCCAAAAGGTTCTACATGCTTTGAGGAGCGGTGGATAAGGCATCCGGCAACCACAATCACAGGGTGGATGATCCAGCAGTGCTTTGATTCTTTTGGGATTTGCCCCATTCTCAGCATAGTGCGAGGCATCACCACTGCCCGCATGGTACGACTCCAAGTTCGAAAGCTTTAGACAAACCTCTGAAGATTCCCCCACTCCAGAAGCAGATTCATCTGAATCAGAGCTTTCATCCCTTAGATGGCAAGCTGAAGATACCCGATTGCTTGGCGTTGGGGTTTCAAAAACAATGCCCTCAAGCACATTGTGCAATCTAGATACCCTGAGCTGGAACTGGCACTTGAACTTGGACTTGGTTCCCGTTCGTCATCATCATCATAACGCCACACCCCAGCCCGCTTCTGTACAGGACGAGCTTGCCCATCGTCAGCGTTTTCATCCCACCGGCCGAGGATGGGCATTTGTGTGTGATGGAAGGTGGCTTGTGACACATTCGTAAAATGAATATTATTAGACCAATAAGTGTAAATCAACATGGCGTGTAGCAGTCCCTTGGTTGATTTGTTCCGTGGTACCTGGTCACTGATTTGTTTGGTGAACAACCCTTAGATCTGGAGCGACCGCGAGCGACCGAGGCAGTTGGGTCATGAGGCAATTTCGAGTGAGCTGAGCATTCAAAGTAACAACAGGCGCAGACACGACGGTATCTTTTTCGACGGAAGTCGCCAGCTATGCAATCCCCTATCTTAAGCTACGCATATACTTCCGAACCTTGAAGGGGTTCAAAGCCATCAGCCCGACAATCATTGCTGCATAGAGGGCCCGCATGGACATGCCATTTCCAGTCATCTTGAGAAGCTCCTGAGTATCAGTTTCTGCATGCCATGCATGAGGGTTGAAGCATGTTGAAACACACTTTTTCTGTGTGTTGCTGTTGAAACAGTTCGACTCATTTTGTTTGCTGACGGGTTGCCCGGTTGGAGAAGGGAGTCCATGTCAATTCATCAACTGGCAGACCCATAAGAAGCATCGCTTCCACGCCTGCGCATTCAGGACATGGCACGGACTGCCTGAGTGAGCAGCCTGGCCTGTGAGGAATTGCTGCTCCTTGACGAGGAGGATGGTCGCATTGGGCCTAAAGAACAACACTCAAGAAAACCATTCGCGATAGAGCAACATCCAATTGGCATGACGTTGAAATGTTTCTTAGGAATGTACGTGAGGCACATCAAGGGAACCTTGGGCTTATCCAATACCAAACTCATGCGGCCAATGGTTTGCGAAGTATTCGCAGCTTGAATCTCTCCATTGTGGAACTTCAAGACCTTGTCCAAAGCCTTAAAGACAATTCAATACAGAAACGTCAACTGTTTGTTGATCATTCTCTCAATTTGATGAAGCATGGACCTTTGACAGTTCATTTAAACCATCAGCCCAGAAGCATCCACCTCACGCGGCGAGAGAATTTGCTTGGCCGCCTCAGGAAAGTTCTGCTTGAAGTAGCCCTTTGCCCCCTTCACCTGTGCAATGATCTCACATGAACGGGGCCAGTGAAGAGTGAGTTTACATCTGAATATTGATATCATGTTTTAGGGGCCTTGTGCTTCTTGGCCCATTCTGCATGTTGATCTTTCCATTTGAAGGTTTTCTTTGGCCTCGGCCACATTCCAACCCATGATGTGCATGGACAGGGTGTTTTCAGAAAACATGATGCACATTGACCCCATGACTTTAAGACAAGAAACTTGGACTTTGACTTCAACTGGTTCTTTTTCACCCTGTTGACACGACTGGTTCTTTCCCCGATGGCATGGTGCACCGCCCAGTGGTTCGACGGCATCAGCAGGTCTTTCCTAGGACCAGTTAGGTGTGGTTGCAAAACATCATACAGCATTCCCCTGCTGACATTTCATATCATTTCCCTTTTTCTGAAACCAGAAGAGCTTCCAATCCCACAAAGTCTCATGTTTCATCTTCTCAAGAAGACCCTTTGCAAAGGCAGCGAAGTCCTTTCTAGCATCCGCTTCCATCAGCTCAGTGCGAACCAATAGGATATAGAATCTTGGGCGGCTGATCGGTGAACCAAACTCGCTCCTTGGATACCAGGAAACAACACGGTATCTTTTCCTTGGGAAACTCTTGAATCGTGTGTTTTCCTAACATGGGCCAAAGGCACGGGTTAATTTCGGTCACACAAATATCGTACCTAGGGTTGAAGATGAGGTGGGACAAGCAAAACCTCATCTTGAGCTGAATCGTAGTTTAAAGTTTCACCCAAGTGCCCTGGAAGGTTCTTATCCATGATCTCCAGCACTTGATCAATGACTCTCCGAAATCCCTTCACGTTCTCCAGCAATGCTACCTTAGCCCAAGGATGTTTGAGGTGTTTTAGGGCAATAAATATACCTTCCTTCCTGACACTTGCTTTCCATGTTGGTGATACGTTCATGCATACCTGGTGGATCAAGCAGCCGGTGGCTGTGCTCCACGGATGTTGCGGATGCACTGAAAAAGAGGCTTTGCAGCCTTGTCCCGGAGCAGGGTGGCGTGCAGCATCGAATACGGAGTGCAAGGGAATCCGCATGCATACATGATCGCCTCACAGGATGATCAGGATGCATGTATCTTAAAAATAGAGGACACCAGAATGAATTTCCGATCACTCTGTATATTATATATTGGCCTTCCCACGATAGTGCGCTGCTTTGACAGCGAAGATGTCCGCATGTGACCTTAAACATGTAAGGACAAACCCAAACTCAAATGATTTCAAGTGAACTGCTTCAAACAGTCCTTTGAACCAAGTTGCTTGAGAGGGCTTTTGTGGTTTTTTATCAAGAAGCGTCGCGCACCCTTGTCCCTCTCGGAGTTGCTCCTGGAAATCAGCTGTGATTGAGCCAGCGGATGCTTTCATCCGATGGTAGCTTTGCGCAAGTCGACGCATGACACAAGGTTCAACTGGTTGAGACAAGGTGCAAGTACTCCAGGTCATTGATCTTGCCACCAGTTGCGAAGAGGGCATTCAATGCCATCAAAGGGGTGTCCATTCCACTGCCTCCACACGAAAGAAATCAAAGGCTTGGGTGGATGAAGCTTTGAATCGCAGCAAGGGCTAGATGCAGATGCGAAACTCTCACTTTGCCAAGGTACAATCACTCATATACCCAAATGGCCCCTTCCAGCGTTTCAGCCACTCATCAAAACCTTGGAACCAAAAAACGGCTTGAACCTCTAAAGGGCCCCACGAAAGGTTACAGCGAAGAAACCCGAAGCAGCCACAAATTCTTCAGCGCAGTGAACATAAGCGGCTTGGTCCTCTGTCAGCAGGTCCTGGGGACAATGCCAATGGTAAAATTATGTAAAACGCAGGTTCAAACGTTCCAAAAAATTCCCTCCTCCTCCTCCTCTTCAGAGGATGAAATCTCCCGCCATACTCCCATGGCGGAGCGGAAAAAACCGTTTGGGCCAACAACTTCTTCAGGGATCTGGCAGATCTGGTTTGTGATTGGAAAAGACTCGGTTGCAATCGTATTTGCTTAAGAGCTTTTCATGGAACATAGAACATCATAGAACACGTTGATTGCTGGAGAGTAGGTGCCGTACCCGCAATCCGGGAATATTCTATGACGAACCAATCATTCACGCTTCAGCGGGACACGAATCCTGAGCAAAACTGGCTCATCCACGGACACACTTCAAAACATGTCGGGTTCTCATCCAAAACAAGCGATTGTGTAAGAGTCTTTTGAGTCAAAGATCAGCGGCAAAACATCGTGGAGATCATGTAATTAGTATAGCCTCCAAATCCTTTTAACATCAACATGCCCCTCAACAAATGCCAAGCATCTAATGATTTAAGGATTTGAAGGGGCCCTTCCATCCATCTTCAAACCACCTAAGAAGTCTCCCTGGCGCCATATCGCTTGGACCATTTCCCACCTTTCTTTGGCATCGTCTGCCAAGTCACGTTGTCCTCTTCCGACAGTGAGGCGTCCATGGCCTAAGGCGACGGCCAGGAGTGGTTCCCCGCCAAGGCCAACGGTGCCGCCTCCGCTTCTCCCTCGGTCTAGGAATTGGAAGCGTGTGTTTCTTTTGTTTTTTTATACTACAATTGGGGATATATGGCGATATTACACTGGATCACTGCCAAAAGGCCCCATGATTGGCCACAAACGGGCAAAAACATCATACATCACCGAATTACAGAACTAGTATAGGTTGAGGCGGTGAATTTCAGGATATTTCAGGTAGGCATGCATCCCAGTCCCATGAATTATGATCATGAATGTGAAAACACACCCGATCAAACATAGCTGCAGCGGAGAGGAACTCAGGATCACTGCTCCTCCCCCTTGCAAGATACTTTTGGATGCCAAGGTGGGTAGAAAGTAGAAACCAAAATTGTAAATTCTGGACGGGATTTCTAGCAGTCCAGCGAGTCCAGTCCAGTGGTCCGGAAAATGGGAGCAAGTCAATGTCCAGCAGGTGATCGGCTAAACGAGATGATTGATCGCCGGATGTTCAGGAGAATTGGTGGATGCAAGTGCTCCCGCGATGGATTGAAGTAACCTGTTGCCGTTCGGTATGTGCATGACTCCAACTGGGCCAAACTCCATCAATTCATACCAGATCAGCTACGTGTCCCCTTCACTTGTGTCCTGTCCTTTCCACCCTCTCTTTAAACTCTCCACCCACAACTTTCGACTTTTCCCAGGCTGAGCTTGGAGGCCATCGCGGCCCTAAAACGAAGGTGAGGACGGGGCCATCGCGGCCCTAAACGTCTGCTACCGCCACGACGTCTCGACCCGGTAGACCGACGTCTCGACCGAACCGTGTCGACCGCGGTACCGTCTCGTCTCTCGTCTTGGTCTCCGCGCCGAGACGTTCTTCCCACGGAACTTGACGTTGAACTTGGACTTCTTGGGCAAGGGGTCCTTGTTGGGCTGAACGAGTGGATGTACGAGTGGCCGGATGGCCGGCGACATAGCCTAGCCGGTGACACGCTATATATATATATATTATATATATAGGCAAAGGTCATGGAAAACGGCTGGCGAAGATGCTGGAGGCAAATGAACGGCCAAGCAAAGTACCACTTGTAAGAATATATATCATTAGACTATATAAAAACAAACATGATTCAGTAGTAGTACAAGTAGGAGAAGTAGTGGCTTTCACTACTTAATCTGTTTGGAGATGCTCCATCCCTTCCTGTCCAGCTCTTATGGGTGGTGGGCCCAGTTTCCCAGGGCTGCGACTCGGACAATTCAGGTGACCCTCTCTCCAACCATCGTGGAAGTGGATGGCCCCCTGGAAAGACCCATGACATGGTCCACTGGAACAACAAAGCGATGGTCCACTTCCATGTGTGTTGCAGGGGGAAAAACCTTGTTCCATCGAAGGCATCTTTTGTGGGAAAAATAAACATCTCCCAGTTGATAGGGCAGAAACAAGTCGAAGGATAACTCCCTGGAGTCGAACAGCTGTTTGCAAAGCCCAAGTCCTCCAAAAAGACTCTCAGAAACGGTCTAAACCAGTTCAAGAATGTGTTGCCCCATTTTCTCAGAGGGTTGTAGGGTAGGGTTGTCCATTGGTGACCCGTTGCAAGCACCTGGCACTTTCGAGGTGCCATGCCACTTCGGATTTTTTGCATCGATCACAAGAGCCCGTCGCTGGCGTCATCGTCCCAAGGCTCAAAGACGACCTTCGTCATCCGCGTGGTGCGCGCGTTCATGACCGGCTCGGAGGCAAAGGGCCTCAAAGCAATGCTGCAGGGCGTGGCCCAACGTTTGGTTCCGATGGGATTCTCTTGTTGCCTCACTATTGACAAAAAACTGGCTTCGGGACCAAAAGGGGCACCTTAAAGCGGGGGATGTGACCATTTGTGGTGAATGCTAGGCTGTATAGGTGGGGACCGGGACGCTGGTTTTCCAGCCACTCAAGGACACTGGTGAAAACAAACATCTTGGTCCAAAACTCAAGACGCGTTGCGATACCACGGTCTCTTTGGTACACTCTCCGTCGTCCCGTCCTCCACACACTCATCATGGCTGGGAGGAACCGCCTGTCTGGGTTCCGGTGGGACGTCTGGTGAAACCGGGGTCTTTTGGGCTGCCAAGATCGATGTTTCGGGCCATGGCGTTTTTTTCGAAAACGGTGGGACAGGTGGTGGAAAAGGGTGAGAAAACCCTCTGAGAGGCCAGGTGGTGTGGGAGAATGATTCGGTAATCCTGGAACATCGTCTCTGTGAAAATCTCTCCATGGATATGGACAAAAAAGAAGTTTCACATCTACAGAGACCCCTCATGTCACCCGAAGCAGGTATAGCCGCATTTGTCTTTGCCTTCCTGGAAGCCGTCGACCTGGACTCTCTCGATCCGCATGGTGCCATGGTACTTGGGACAAATGATGGGAGGAGCTGGTGGAGATTCATCCTGCAGCGGGGTCCGGCGATGGAACGCGACAGGTTCATCAAACAGATTCTCTGCAGAAAGCGGCAACAACATCAAACGGGGTCAAACCGGGGAAGTCATGCTCCGCTGCTACGAGACTTGCTTCAAATGTTCTTACTGGACAAGTTGGAACAGATTGTGGGATCCAGTCAAAGCCCCTAGTTGCTTCACTGTGCAGTGCAGGATGCAAAGAAAAAACAAACATGAGGACCCCTCTTGTTTTGAGAACACTCTTGTTTTGATATCTTTATCCAACATCAGCAAGTCTGGTCTCCAAACATGCAAATTCTTTGTTGCACCTGCCTGCTGGTCATAACAAGAATTGACATGAGAAGAATCCAGCACAGCTTTGTATAGCCTATAGTTCCAAATTACCCAACGGTTCCCAGCCGTCATGAAATTATACTAGATAGATACTACTGCATCTGGTATCTGAGATGTTGTGCTGCTTCCTTTCGGATGCATCTCCTTGGTTGCCTCCTTTTCAGCCGGTGTGACCCCCGAGAAGACGACATGTTCCGAGAACGCTCCTTGGGTCTCAAAGGCGTGAATCTCGTGCTCAAAGCTTCATCTAACTTGGCACTGATTTTGTCCAAGCGATCCTGGCACCAGCGATGCAAGTGAAGTTGTTTGTTTGAGGCGGCACTTTGTAAAGGTAACGCTGTTTGTTTGGAGGTGACCTTCTGAAGGGTTCTTAGAATTCAAGGCCCCATATCTTTGAAGGTGGGAGAGCATGTTGAGAGGACATACCTTGAGCGTCAATCCGCTCTTGGGTTGATTCATGACCGCCAACCGGCCCAAGGGCACCGGTGTAACACCAAACGTCCAGGGCATCCATATGTGGGAGGCGATTTTAGACAGCACCCGTTCCATCCTAGGCAGCCGGTTGATAAAGAATACCTGAACTCATTTCCAGTAGCTTGACTACACAACACGGGCCCGTGATCACTTGCCCCTCTACCAGGTAAGCCCTCTGTAGATGTTCTTTTCCCTCCCTCGTTGGTCCGCCAAAAGACGCAGCACGCAGCGAATTGTGAGCGCCTCAATCCCTGCGAAGGGATCACTATGCTTCAAGGTAGCCTGGACCTGTGGCCACGCTCTGGCAAGGGCCTTCCCTGCACCACAGCATGCAGGTGAACCCTGGTCTGCATGGAGTCTTGTCCACTTGCACTGGGTGAGGCCTTCGTCTATCATCCAGCCTGATTCAACCCTCAAGGCAAATCACAAGAGATCAGTTGCACAAAAGGTCAAATTGAAATTCCGCAAGCCTTTGACCTAACAAGCCTCAATGGAAACAAATCGAGACGATGGAACGAATCCGGAAACACAAATTATATATATATATATGTTCCCTTGACTCGTATTCATGTCCAAGATTGTCCTAGCACACTCAAACACCAGTTGCAAACTCAGGTGAAGTTTGTCATTCGTTCAGTTCTCCTCATGAAGTCAGTCCCGAAACGAAACATGGACTGAAACTCCTGCGGAATTTGGGCATCCTCGTCGCATGACACTATATGACACTTTGGGGCCGACATTCGAAAAGGGAGATTGGATCGAGCGAAAGTGAATCATCATATCTTTCCCCCCCCAGGGGGCATGGGGTGCAGATCCGGCCCAAAGTGGGAGGATAGCACAGTGGGAGAAAAAAACAGTGGGCCTGCAAGGGACATGAAGACACATGAAGTACCAATGGCTCGAAAAGCATGTTCCTCCAGGTGTTGAGGGAGTGCAGCTGCAAAACTCAACTTGGATAGGTGCTGGGCTGGTATCGGTGATATATCTTGGTGCATCTCGTCCAATGTCATTAGCCTGGGGTGGAACTGTGGCGGTGCATCATTCAACCCCCCCAATCGCCAGTAGGAATTCCTTACCCAAACAAGTTCATGCCGGTGCAGCCTGTGATCGACAATTTTGTGGAAATTTAGACAATTTATAAATGAACTATAAATGATATTGAGCTCCCCGTCAACCCCAAAAGATCATGTGGATTAATTAATCCTCGCAAACAACGCCGTTGAGGCTCTCCACTCTCTAACATGTGTAATGTATAGAATCTTGATCAATACAGCAACTCCCCCCCCTTATGAAGAGGTTTTACAATCCAAATGAGAGAGGGGTACTAATCAAGATTCTACTTTCAACATCATTCAACTAGGGTTCCTTAACCAGCAGTTCCAAAGGGGTGGCTCTCCATGGAGCGCCTTGGGCCCCTGTCACATCCACTCACTGGATGGGACTAAGTCACCACACCACCCCGAGCTCTTTGACTCGGTGTTTCCTTCAAACCGCCCGAGCTGTCGCGGTGAACGGCCTTCAACTTGGGCTTCTCCTTTGGGCTGCCGGTGCGTTCCGCAGCAGCGTCTGCCTGAAGGAGCTTGGCGGTGCACTCGGAGGGCAGCAGCGTACAAAGCGTTCTGGAAGGCCAGGCCACTAAATTACTAAATGGGTGAGGGAAAGAATGGGCACTAGAACCGGTACTGTACGCGCATGATGAGCCACTAAACCATGTATACATTGAAAAAATTGCACTCGTTTAACTTGATCGGCAGATCAGTGAGCGAAGGTGCTCCAAAATGGTTGCGGAAAGGATTGAACAAATCTCCCAAATGGATCTAACTGAGTGCTTTTACTGAAATGGAAGGTGCTCCAAAAGATCTCCCAACGGATCTCTAAATGGTGCTCCCAAAGGTCGCAGTTGTACAGGTGCTTTTGCTGAAATCGATCCAACTGGCGACGGGCTTTTGAGCGAAACCTGACGGGCGAAGAGCATGGCGAACCCGGTTACGACCCCACGCCTCGCCTCAACCTCAGGTTGCTTTTCGAGCTCGTTCTCTTCCTCGAACGTCACCTGTCCTGCAGATTTGGCAAAGCAACGGGCTAGGGAGGGGCTAAATACTATGCCACCAACATAAAGCAAGTAGGAACCAATGAAGCACGACAGCAATCCAAGTGATAATATTCATCAGTCTGTCTGTATCGGGATGTCGGGTAGTTGCTTGGCATGCGTATCTTGCCTGGGATCCTGGATTCCCTCGTGATTATTGGTTCCAGTCCTGATCCCCAACTGTTGACGTGTATGTGAGAGGGGGGTGATATATATAATATCAACTAATTCATATATATATATCTAATTATATCTACACTGCACATTCATGCGAAAGTCAATACGTTGGCATCTCATACGCCCAGGCCAACAAGTGGTGGAGGTATTGTATGTAAACTCTCTTGTCCACCAGCTCGGAATATTTCACTCATGGAACCGCACACGATCGAGTGCATAGATGTATTATGATGTATTGCTGGTCTGGTTCCAACAGTATCATCAACATTCATCAACCATTTCTCAAAACCGCGGAACACTGATGACATCGACATCTCCAGCCATCATCCCCAAACACTTCATGTATAACCTATAATCCTATTTACCAGCATTTGGCTGGTTTCATGGGATCCAGCTCTAGGCATCCATGGAGTGTTTGGGATCCAGCTCTCCTGGCATTCCGTCCATCACACGTTGATGTCCCGACCGGGACTCCGCGCGAAGACCGTGTCTTGAGCCGAAACCCACGCGGCGTCCAACGGGTGCGGTGCGGAGGGGTGACCGCACCAAAGAGGTCCTGGTAGAAATAGAGGGAGTGCACCGGTTTTCAGATGACGTGGATGTTCTGGGCAGGGGGTGAAAAAGAAAAAGAAAAAAAACAACTCAGAACTGCTGAGAGTTCTTGTTGATCTGATATGACATGATTATGTCTTGATGGCTTGGATCTTGCATCTTCAATCTACCAAGACCCCAAAAGCGCAGCTGGACTGTCCACTCAAAGGGTGCTTGAGACAGTGGTGCGCCATGTGTTCTTTCTTGTCTCTGTGGACTGAACCAAAGCCTCCAAGGCTCGGGTCAAAGACTGAAAACCTTCCATCTGAAAAGCCGAAGACCCGGAAGGTGCTGATAGCTACTCAGGTCGTGAGCCTGTTGATTACCAGGTCGTGAGCTCTCCTCAGGTCACGTCTTGCAGAATAGATTGATCTTTAGCTCATCACGTCTTAGGGATGCTTGGCCTGAGTTCTGAGAAAAAAATAACCATCCCCAAACACTCCATGGGACTGCCATATATGCCGATCAGTTGACCCCTCAAACCACCCCAATGTAGGCATATATGGCAGTCCCATGGAGTGTCTGGGGATCTGAAGAACACCAACAAGTTGAGAAATCGAGAATCATGCCATCCAGTGCACAACTTGGATATGATTCTTGCATCTTTTGAGCCACCCTATATAGAGCACCCTACCAAGGTCTGACGACCGGAGTACCACTGCGTTTGCGAAAATCGGAGAACAAGTCACTTGACCTCACTT